AAGTGAGAGAGTGGCATGGACATATATACACTACCAAATGTAAAATAGATAGCTAGTGGTAAGCAGCCTCATAGCACAGGGAGATCAGCTCGGTGCTTTGTGACCACCTAGAGGGGTGGGATAGGGAGGGTGGGAGGGAGGGAGACGCAAGAGGGAAGAGATATGGGAACATATGTATATGTATAACTGATTCACTTTGTTATACAGCAGAAACTAACACACCATTGTAAAGCAATTATACTCCAATAAAGATGTAAAAAAAAAAAAAAAATAAGACCCAACACAGCCAAAATAAATAAATAAATAAATAAAGAGTACTTAAGGAATTGGCAGGTGTTATTACATAGCTGCTAGTGATTATTTTTGAGAACTCAAGGGGATAAAGAAAGTCCCTGTAGACTGAAAAAGGGTAAATGCAGTGCTCATCTTTTTAAAAAGGGAAAAAGGACAATCCTGGTAATTATAGACCTGTCAGCTTAACTTCAATATCAGGGAAAATATAGAACTTAACATCAAACAATTAGCAACAACTTGAAAAGCACAAAGTATTGGGTGGAAACCAACATGACTTTTCAAAAGGTGAATCATGCCAGGCCAATTAATTTTCTTCTGTGATCAAGTGGCCACATAGGCAAGGAGGGAGCAGTAGCTATAATCTCTTTGACCATAAGTAGGGCTGAAAAGTAGTCTAAATATGGCAACAGGTTCCTACAGGTGGCCAAGTCCTCTATCTTTTAAGACAACTGAGGCCTGGACAGAAATCTATCTGAGAAACACTGGTAGACCAGATGGCCTCCAGAATCATGTCCAACCCTGGATGGTCATTTTAGGAGCTAATCTTACTTCCATGAGACTGTTTCCAACTTGCTCATTTTCTCCAGATCTCAGTTTAAAGGTCAAAGCAGAATCTAATAAAATATCTATGTCTTCAGTCTAAAGAAAACTTTTTAAAAAAGAAGACAAAGAAGCAGTAGAAAATGCATTGATGCCTTTGTGACACTGCTTTTTGGTACAAATGTAAGTGAAATTCAGGCTTAATCCATAGTATGTCATTTTCTATTCATGTAGAATTAAGAAAAATAATGTTTTGAATACTTAAGGATAAATAAGTAGAAATTTAATAGGTCTCAGATAAGTCTAGGCATTTCTCCAAGTCTTTGAAATTTGATTCCTAAGCCCATAGGTATCTACAGTGTGCAAATGTTTAATTCTCTTCCAAGAAAACTCTAGTTTCTCTGCAGGTATGAACAGTTCTTGGATCTTTATAAGCAGGCAAATTAGATCAGGTGCTACCTTTGCCTGTACTGAAAGATTTTAGTGAACTCTCATCATCTGGTTGGTCTCTTATATTACCTCAAACCAAAATTAAACCCAGAAGTTTTAACATGTCCTCTGAGGAAGAGATGATTAACAGTTCACCAGTATCACTGCCAGGTTACTAAGCTTTATACTAGGAAAAGACATTCTTTACCCACAGGGTAAAGTCAAAGTACAATTATGAACACACCAAAGTATAGATGATGTACTTGGAGGGGAAGCCCTAAAAGAGTTTGGCTTCTTTAAAAGAAGAGCATTTCTCTTATTCTTTTGGGTAATGAAGACACAGTGGGGACATGGAAATAAGGGGAAGCAGAGAAAGAATATAATGAGAAGACTAGTCAGTTTTCAACTGGGTCATACACATCCAGTAGTGGAGAGGCAGGTCCAAATCAATACTTGCACACAAGCACTAGAAGGACCAGGAATCCTGTTTCGTAATTTTCAGAGATCAAGTCACTGTCAACAAAGCCAAGAGAAACAGGATTGGAGCAAAATTTGGTGAGGATTTTATTGGGTATTAACTTTACTAAAATAAGCCCTTCTGCAGTAACCATACACCAGATGTTCACTCCTTTGCTTTAGTTCTACCCACATTATTTATTCGTGACCATGTCTTTTTCCAATTAGCTCCCCACCCCACAGTTTACCTGTATAGACAGAGGACTTAGGCTCTTGAGAACCTCCCCCATATATGTTTGTGTGCATGCACACCTGAGCGCACGCACACACACACACACACACACACACACACACACACACACACCACTCCCAAGTCCCTTCTCTCTGAACCTCATTCACAGATGAGTTGTAAGAATAGCACAATTCTTATCTTGAAGAGAATGAAAGCACTTAACTAAAAAAATTTACTATAAATGTTGGCAATTGTAGCTACACAGAGTAAATACAAAATTCAGCTTTGTTTGGCCTAGGAAAGAATTCTCTCAGGCCAAGGGTTCAGCTTGTCTTTGCCTGGGATTTTTTTTGCCTGGTGACCATTGTGGTGCATTTTCTGTCTTCTCTTTCAGATTGAACTGACACAGTCAGCTGTTGTCTTTCTGGCTCTGAACTGGGCTGATCAGCCTTCCTGATCTTATCTCACTACAGAAGATTTTCTCTCTTTTGGGTCCCAGCTCTTACTGAATTAATCTCTTTAACACTCCATCTCTCCAGTTACTCAGAGCAAAACCATGGAGTTATCCTGCCTTGTATGACCATTATCTCCCACCATCCCACATCTAATGCAGAAGCAAATCCTGTGGAGTCTACTTTCAAATGTACATCTAAAATCCAGCCATTTCTCCCAACTCCTCCCTTGGTCCATGCCGCCGTCACTTCTCACCTGGTTTCTTGCAGTAGCCTCCACGCTGGTCTCCCTGCTTCTATCTTTGGCTCCCTACAGTTCATTTTCAATCTAACAGCCAGTGTGTCCTTTGTGACATCTACAGGAGATCACATCACTTCTCTGCTCAGTACACTCCAATGGCCTTTCACCTCCCTAAAAGGAAAAGTTAAAATTTTCAGAAAGGCCTACATGGTCCTAGAGGACCTCACCTCCCTTTCCTTTCTCACCTCATCTGGTACCGTTCTCCCGCTTACTGTCTCTGTTCCAGCCAGAACAAAGTGGCTCCTCAAACACCGCCAGGCACCTCCCACCTCCAGGCCTTAGCACCTGCTGTTACCTCTCACTGGAGTGTTCCTGTTGTAGATTCCCACCAGGCTCCTTCCCTGCCTCCTCCAAGTCTGAACTCAGATGTCACCTTCTCGAAGCGATCTTCCATGAGAACAAAATTAATTCCAAATTACAACTTCCTCCATCCTGGCGTTCCTCATCTCCCTCCGCTGCTTTACTCTCCTCCACCGCACTTTTTCCTCTTACTAAACTACGTAATTTACTTCTGTAACTTGCTACCTTTCTCTCTCCCTCTCATTCCCTCTCTCTGTCTCTCTCTCCCTCCACACATTCCCCCCAGTAGACGCAAAATTCCCGAAGGCAGAGATTCTGTTTTATATACTTCTGTATCCCCATTGCCTAGTAGAGTGCTTGGCACATAGCTGGTATTCCCTTAATATTTGCTAAACAAATTAACTAAATGAAAATATATTCACACAATAGCTACCATGTTAATGCTCATAGCAGCATTACTCATAATAGAAACTGAAGCAATCCAGCTATCTTTTAACTGGTGAACAGAATAAACAAAATATGGTATATTCATACTATTCAGCAGTAAAAATCAGTATTCAGAACAGAATCCTGATTCTTGCTACGGCCTGGATGAACCTCAAAAACATTATGCTAAGTGAAAGAAGCCAGACACAAAATATGACGTATTATACAATTCCACTTATATGAAATGTCTGGAAAGGGCAAATTCATTGTGGCAGAAAGCAGATTAGTGGTTCCCTGGAGCTGGGGTAGAAATGGGAGTGACAAATGGGCATGAGGGAATTTTCAAGGTGATGGAAACATTCCAAAACTGGATTGCAATAATGGTTGCCCAACTCCATAAATTTGCTACAAATCATTGAATTGTACACTTACAGTAGTTGAATTTTATGATATATAGAGAATACTTCAATAAAACGATTAAAAAAAGTTTTTTTAAAAAAAAGTTTGAAATTACTCTGTTAATGAGGCCAAGGCCACAAGCTCAAATTCTTGGGAGCCAATGAGATTGCTTATTCTCTATTTTGTTTCTTTCTTTCCTTCAATACCTAGCTGTGTATGAATCTATAATCTAGGCCCTATAGGAGTAGACATAACCCCTGCCCTTTGGGAATTTATAATCTAATTAAAAGATAAGATGCACCGGGATCATTACAATGCAAGGCAGAATATGAAATGCCACATTAAGGACATGCCAGGAAAGTGTTAAGTAGGAAGACAATAAGCAGAGAAGGGCGCTAAGGAGTGCCTACAGGCCACCCTCTTCACCCCCGTCTCTTCCACATGTCACCATGTTACTGAAAGCGGGATCCGACTGGTCGCTACTCTAAAGCCAATACTTGAGAGGCAAGGTCGGTAAAAGGAAACTTTGCTTTATTTCAGAGGCTGGCAACTGGGGAGGAGGGCAGACTCACATCCAAAGACTGACTCCCCCCACTGACGATCAGTGGGCAAGAGCTTTTAAAGTGGAGTTTCAGGGGTGTATATGTGGAGGGAGGGGGCTGCATGCAGAAACAGCACAGTCAGCCCTGACAGTCATCTTGAAATTGGTCATCAGTGGGTCTGATCAGCGTCATCTTGATTGTTTTAAGTACAGTTAATCTTCAGTTCCAGGGTGGGTTTGTTCCCATCTCTTTGAGCCCATTTCTCAGAATTGTGGCAGCTTGTGTCATGGCTACAGTCTGGTCATCATGTAATTAACTTCTTTCACCTGGGGGTCTCAGTATCTACAAGACAGCTCAAGGGATATGGCTCAGAATATTATCTATAGCCCTTGAGGAGGAACTAAAGGTCCCTGGCTTTGTTTAATGACTAAACTATTATTAGTTGGTCTTGTTTGACTGCTTTACTTTGCTTCTGCATTTTCTCACTTCTCTGATTAAACTTATTCTTTGGCTAAAGTTTTTCTACAGACAAAAGGCAGGCAGAGCATATGGAGGGGAGGACCATAGGGTCCTGCTCCATTTCAACCAGGAATATTGGGCAAGAAAATATAGAAGCATCAGTGCAAAGATCTCAATTGTACTAGAATAAACAACTCAGGGATGTGCCCTATTAGCAGAATACCTGATACAGTGTAGGTATTCAACATATGCTTATTGAATGAATGAATGAAAATGTAGGTGGGGTGTGGCAGCATTTCAGGTTGATTGTAGACTGGCAGGGAGAGATCTCACACACACACATACGCACACACACACATACGCGCGCGCGCGCACACACACACACACACACACACACACACACACTCAGCATCTGCAAGGTCACATCTGCCTTCAGAAGGAGACAGAGTCAGTGCCCAGATGTGCCTGAACAATATCTCTGCCTCCCGTTTCCCAGAATTCCAGAAAGCTATTTCCCCAAGAGTTTGTCCTTTTATCTGGGCATTTTTAATAATCAAGTTTAGTCCAAGAACCATAACCGGAAATTCATTCCCTTCCAGGTCAATTGTGTTATCTTTATACGTGAAGTCAAAACATAAGCATATTATCGCGTGTATCTTTATACTATTCTCTAGGTTCTTTATGTGAATGTTTTTTCTTCTGACCTACATAATAGGAATGGTAGATCTAAATAGTAGGAAGGAACTATGTTTTTTTCCTTCTTTTAAATCCTTCCCATAGAGTGAAAGTGCAAAGTGATGTTTAATTGTGAATAGAGTGAAATATTTAATAAGTGCTCTGGAGATGAAAAGATAAATGGATGGATAGATGGATGTGAACAAATGAAAAAAATCAAAGAATGAATGCCTGCTTGGTGACAATCTAAAGCCTTTCTGTATATTCGATCTCAATTACAGAATAAGAAGCAAGTGTCAGCATTTGAGGAGTCACACATGGAGTTTGAGCCCAATAAACAGTGTCATCTGAGACAACTCCAACAACTCAAGAAAAAGTTGCTGGCCCTTCAGCAAGAACTGGAGTTTCGCACCGAGGAGCTGCAGACTTCTTACTGTTCCCTCCTGCAGTATCAGTCCATCCTGGAGAAGGAGACTTCTGACCTGGTTATTCTCCACCATCACTGCAAGATGAAAGAAGATGAGGTATAGATAAAGTAACTATGGAAATGTCCCATATGCCCATGTACCTACAGAAATCAGGCCAAAGCTACTAGAAAGCAAGCATTGGACTTAGAGAAGAGCTTCACAACACCTTGAGCAGGTTTTATCAACTTTCCCTCTTTAATTCTTGATTTTTTTTTGAAGCTGAACAGAGGGAACTAAACAGAATGGCATAATTGGGTGAAAGCTCCAGTATTAATGCACATGGGGTATGCTGTATGTGTGTACATGTGTGGGAGGTGTGTGTGTGCACGCACATATATGTGTATGGTGTGCATGTAGGTTTATCATCTCCATTCTATTACCATGGCAATTTAAATGCAAAAGACTCTGGTTCTCTGAGGGTTTTGAAGGAGGTATAAGGTCCATTAAGTCAATCATTTTTAGAAAAATCAGGTTTTGGTCATATATAAATTCCTGGCACTTGCACAGTTGATAAGATAACCAGACACTGAGTCTGAGTCAATCGCTGTCAGTACCAGATCAGTCATTTTTTTCAGACTGGAGTTTTAGATCATGTAGACTTAGCTTAAGTACATTCTGGACATTCATTTCTATTCATGTCTGAGGATAGTATTTTTTTTTAAACCAGAGAGTATCATCCTTGTAGAATCCCAAGTAAATTCCAAAGACCAAAGCCATAGAACTAAAATCAGTTGGGAAGTGATAGCACTGGCAGTAGTAAAACCATGTGTTCAAAGGAATGGGACAGGGACTTCCCTGGTGGCGCAGTGGTTAAGAATCCGCCTGCCAATGCAGGGGACACAGGTTCGAGCTCTGGTCCGGGAAGATCCCACATGCTGTGGAGCAACTAAGCCCATGCGCAACTATTGAGCCTGCGCTCTAGAGCCCGCGAGCCACAACTACTGAGCCTGCCCTCTAGAGCCCGCAAGCCATAACTACTGAGCCTGCATGCCAGAACTACTGAAGCCCGCACACCTAGAGCCTGTGCTCCTCCAAAAAGAGAAGCCACCGCAATGAGAAGCCCTCGCACTGCAACGAAGAGCAGCCCCTGCTTGCCGCAACTAGAGAAAGCCCGTGCACAGCAACAAAGACCCAACGCAGCCATAAATAAATAAATA